CAACAGACCTTTTTCACAGCAGTCATTTTGACATGAAATAGGAAGGTAAACACAGGTGTTACCAATGAAACTAATTAAGGTTCTGTTCCATTTAGTGAAGCCGAGCCTTTCCAGTGAGCCAACATGAACAATGGCAGCACCCAAACTCAGTTTGACCTGCTCTGAAAAAGGTCTGTTAGTCTAAAGAAAGCACTGCACAAATGTGGGAGAGGTAACACAGGTAAAGCAGAGCATGCGTGCTTAATGGCGGCCCAATCTGCACCCTCGGCTGTCATTGCTTGATTTTTCACACTGTGAAAATGTCTCAGTCATTCTGCCTCACAACTAATTAAATATTTTGGTAATACAATGAATTTGAGCTGTTAGCCATTTTGACTGAGCTACCCAGCTAATGTGCCCAGAACGGAGGAGGCGCTGTCAATTTTGCTGCCCAACTCAGAAAGAGGACAGAGAATCATCTATAAAACACAAAGTCCCTACACAGAAAAGGTGATGCCTGCCCTCAACAGTGAAACCAAAGCTTAGATAATGAAGTCAAACATGTGATTCCTGCACTTCTGTCTCAACTGACTGGTATGCAACAAAAACAACAATAGTTATGTTCTTGGAGGCTGTTAGACTGCTGGAAAAAGGCTCAATAAAATGGCCTTCAGATTTATCTGACTACTTGTTTTATTTGACTTAAAAAGGTAGCAGTAATATAGAAAACTGACGATGGGATGCACTGTGATGTATGGAGAATCGTTGTAAATCGTAATCGAGTCATGACGACGGTGAAGATTCATACATCAAATCAATGGTCCATTTGTTCTGTTTTTGAGCAACTGGCCTTCTATCCTTACTTAGCAAAGTTAAGTCGAGGAAACAACCAGTGCCTCTGCAATCCTAGCATGGCCCCGAAACAAGGTTTGTGTAAGGTTGACCACATGACTGGGATAAAGGGGATGGCACATACTAATGCCACCTAATGCTGGAAACCAAGTCCAACTGCTTCATCTGCATTTGGGCAGCCAGGTAACCTCTTTTACAGGACAGTAAGGGCAGACAGCGAAGGACTTTGAAAGGAAGAAGAAGAAGGGGGAGGAGCTCAGCAAGGATCAGCAGCCAAAGATACCACAGATAAACCGCTGATGAACACAATCACCCAACGGTGCTGCAGCCTCCACACGCAGCACAAAGCTATTAGGAAACACCCGCAAAATGCTTATTATTTACACTGCAAACGTACAAGCAGGCCTCAACAGGGCTTTACCAAACACAACTGTGTGAACAGTTTCTTATTAGGCCCAACTTTGAATAAATAAAACTACACTTGTATTCAGTCAACAGATACTCATTTTGAAAGCGTTCTGCATGGAAAAAAAGAAAGCCGACACTTTGTCAACCCTACTTGGATCCTATGATCCAATGGTAAATTTCAACATGTGATGAATTTTCTGTTTTCTTCCCCTTTGAACTATCATGCGAAAACCCTCCAGCTTTGCAGCAATTACAGTGAAGTCAGTCAGGCAGCTATAGCCAATCTGAGGCCAGACTTACGGCCGTGCAACCAGTCGCCTCGCTTCTGCTCTGATCAATAATTTACATCAAAGCAAGCAGCGACGGACAGATATGGAAACAGAGGACTGAGAAACGGTGAGAGGGGAAGACATCAAAGAGAAAGAAGGCCCAGAAAACAAAGAGAACAGGAAAATACGAGGGAACAAATAAAGATGGAGAGACAGAGAAACAGAAGCAGGAGTGGTTAAGAGAAGAGAGAGATAGGAGCAGCAGCAACAGCACCACGCTTGGTGCTCTGGCAGAGATCTATAAATAGCTCTTCAAATCTCTCTAGAAAAAGCCACTCTTCTGCTTCTGCTGCTGCAAACAGAGATTCAGAGACAGAGGGAGATATGGATACCTGGCTGACAAATACAACTCAGATCATGTCTTATTTGATCATAGCTGTCTATTGCAATTACATCAGCCCATAACATACAGTGATCAGTAATCTTGGCTTGTATACATTTTTCATTGTGGGAAGTGAATACAGTAAAAGCAAGTGGGTTACGTCCAACATAGATAAAACCTAACAAAAAAAACACAAAATGGACAACTCTTATACTAACATATAAATTGCCTAACAATGCATTGTTGCTTCAGAATTTAAAAAGAGATGTAACAAAGATGTGCAACTTGCAGGGTATAAGAGGGAAAACATGTTGATAGGGAGGAAGGATACTCCCTCTTTCTCACTGCTGACCTTAGCAACAGCAGACTGTTGATTCAGTGACTCATTTCCATCAGGCGTTATGGATAAGCCTTTTTCTCAATGATACTTCCCTTAACAGAACTCAATACCATTTAGGAAACATATGTGCACCATTTACAAATGCAGAGCAAAGCGCTGCAACGGGAGCACATCTAAAAGAATCACTGTGTGCCATTAAACCAGAAAAACTCACATTGCTCAGGGGAGGTACCTGCCTAACCTGTCCATCACCTCACACACAAATGTGCTCAAGACAACCTCACAGTCTTAACATCTGATGGGCCTAAATTAGCAACCCTTGCCCGCACCTTGCCAGTCCTCTGCGTCACGTGACCGGCCAATGCCAACTCATATGAATATTGATGTTGTTTAGACACACATGCCCTTCTCCCAGAGCAGATGTTTGAATCACAGCTCCGACAGCCTGTGCTGTGATCCCACCTAGTTTGACACAACAGGCTTGCCATCTATTTTCAGCTTCGAGTGTCAACGTGTAGAGCTGAAGCCAAGACGTAAGACACTGATGAGCATTTGTCAAGTACTTCTCCACAAACCCCGTTTCTTATTTAAATTCATCTCAACCCTGCAAACTACAGATTATGAACACAAGATGAGCGACGTGCTTGTTTCTGTTACATCTTAATAAGTGAAAGATGTCTCAGTGAGTGTGCCTTCAACTGGAGGGCTGCAATGAAAGCTCAGGAATGCAATTATCACAAAACTTCACTTAAATGCCACAGTTCAATAAACACAGTCTAGTGGTGAGGTGTAATTGTTTTCAGCTTAATTCAGCCTCTTAACGAAGCGACATTCAACATCTTTTTAAACTATGGGTTTATAACTCCCGGTTAATTAGTTATTACATCTACATCTTTGATTGCTGTGGTTTTCTGACCATCAGTGGACACACAGGCACACACACACACCAGGGTGTAATGGTATTAATAACACCTGGCTTCGTGTATGGTTGCTGAGGACAGCTACAAAACACATTTCCCAAATCACTTCATTCAAATGCAACCAAATATCTCGCTTCAGTCCCGCATTTAATTCCCCAGAGTTTCAGTAACACGGATAAAATGTTAACATGGCCATCTCGTGCCAGGTATGGAGAACGCGGACTTTAAAGATGGTGCTTAAAGCGGAGTTAACACATCTGACTTAAAGACCACCGATTAGAAGTTATCTCAAGTCGTCTTAAAACAAACAAAAAACAACAAAACAAAAAAAATGCTTCAGCTCACCGATTTCGATGGCCGTGTGTCGCGGGGTCCGCGTGGAGAATCCCTCAAGTTGTGTCTGTAGAGAACAGATGGCAGTGTGGTCAGAGCCGTGGCTGAGCAGTTCACTGAAAATATTATCTCGCCCCACACGCTAACAATAGCTAGCTCACGGCTTTAGCCTGCTTCCTCTGGCGAGTATAATTAGCCACCTAGCTAACGTTAGCCACCGCTAGCTAGCCTTTTCTTTTTCGACCCCAGGGTTAACCAAACCCTCCCCCTCCCCTCCCCCCCGAAACCCTCCAGCGTTTATACAACAACTAGTTCACCGACAAAGTAGCGTGTGTTTACACAGGAAGACGAACCTCGCTACAAACCCGGACCTAGCACTGTCACGGTCTCTTAAACAGGAGGGCGCTAGGTGCTGCTGGCTAGCTCTCCCAATGACTTACCAGTGCTAATATAATGGTGCTGCTAGCTCGAGCTGCTTTCACCGAGACCCCGACTGTCAAAATAGCGCCGCGTGAGGGGAGAGCGGCGGCATGGACGTCCAGGAGAGGTAACAACAAGCGCCGAGGAGTCGGAGGAGTCGACTCCGGTACGGGAGTACAGCTAAACAACAACAAAACGCCAAAGAATAAAAGGACACAAATTAAAGAAAAAAGAAACAAAACGCTATTCCCCCTCTTCGGCTCCGGCTTGTGTGTGTGTGTGTGTGTGTGTGTGTTTCAGCGTCACTTTTTTTTTTTTTTTTTTTTTTCCCTCACGACAGTTTAACGTTCGAGCCGGCGTAGTTCGCAGTCGTGGGGGTAGACTGTTCAGGGTACAGTAAACTTGTTGCAAGATTCAGTAAAGTGTTATTGCTCACAAAGGTGTGAAAGCAGAAAAAGAAACTGTGTGTTATGTTTTTTTTTTTTTCCAGCTGTGATAATACTCTCCTGTAATTTGGCTGGGCAATATTAAAGGTTTGTGGGTCACTGTGGGCTGTTAAATCACTGCAGCATTTTACACATTTTTATACATAACATATCCCTCATACCAGGTATAATCCACCTAATATATAATATCACAATATCTATACATATATATATTAAAAATATCAATCAATGAGTTTTAACCTTTTTAATATTCCTTAGGAAATACATGTTCATGATTATTTTGATTTAAGAAGTATTTAGTTTTAATTTGTACACTTGAGTGTCACACAACCACCAATATAAAAGTAAAGTTTGTTGTAGTTTCTAAAATTCACCACATGTCGGCAGGCAAGTACTTCTGTGCCATAGTGAGGCCCTGTCGCTCAACCGCATGTTCAATTTCTTTATTTGTTATATTCACAACAATTACAGTGAAGCATTGATTGGCAATGACATTCTTGTTCTCATGCATGCTCACAAAATGTGTAAAAAAAAAAAAAAAGACATGGGATTTAAGACATAAAAAAGAGAATAATTTAAATATATGGAAAGAGCAGTTTCTTGGGGTTGTTGCCTGCTCAAAGGGCACCTCGGGCAGGTGCACAGCGGATGCAAACCTGGCACTGTCATGAGCCAGCAATTCCACAACCTTCGATAATTTAGCAGAGCTGTGACTATCTGAAGAGCTCCCGGCAACTCCAGTTCCAAGCCCATAAGGTCCCTTACACACTGCCCCAGCCTACCCCTGCCAACAAAATCAGTCAAAACATGATTCCAACCTCAAGTATACGGGCGTATTAATACATAGATCATTACGATGACCTGTATGTGTTCAATGCAGTCTTCTTATAGCCTACACACCTGTTACCTTTGAATTAGTCCAGAGATAATGCATATAATGAGCCAGTCGATTTCTTAAGCACTTATTCGTATGATGCTGGGGAAAATTATATTGCATAGGATTTTCAAGATGCAACGCAGCTGAGTTCGTATCCGTGTATTACGACTAATTTGTGAGGAAACAATCCTTTAACCTAAAGACAAAGATAATGCCGCTTTGAATTAGGCAACAAAAGCAAAGGAAATTTGTTCAATTCAATTCAAATTCAATTTCAATTTATTACATGCTATTGAGTGCCAATTTCATAACAGAAGTTAAATTTCCTCAGGGCTTGACGCACTATTTCAAAGAGCACATGATCTAAGACCGACCACTGTCATAACATTTCAGACCACACAACAGCGTACCTTTACCATAAAAGAACTAATTGAGAGTTATAATTCTATATATCATCTCTGGGAGTCTGGCGAGCCCACTCATGTTATAATTCTAAGTGTTATTCAACAATAGATGTAATATATGCGTGTCTCATGTGGGCGCGCGAGCACATACTCTTTAACAGGTCTTATGTGATTATTCTAGCGGCTCGCTCAATCGATGTGATCCTACTCTTAGGAAATTGATAGACCTTGTCTTATACCAGCCGAGAAACAAGAGTAACACAAAAGTAGTTCTACACACCCCACTAAGGAATAGTCAGTTCAGGGAATAGTAAAAAGAAAAAAAATGTGTGCGCATATCTTACAGTATTATCCGGAGCTGGCACAGCCCATCATCTTAGACCAGCAGGAACGTCAATCCTAAAAAAGTAGAACAAATGTGTCTTAAAGTCGACGGAGGCATCACAATCATCCGTTGGTGTTATTACTACGAACGATCACGCGAGATTCAATAAATTAATCACTGTTATTGAGACTCTTGTACTACATACAGGATCATAAGAGAACCCAGTATCCATATATATCCGTGTGGACACCAACTGGATAGGATAAAAAGGTACATCACCTGACCTCTTGACTACAGTCCACTTGATGCGACTCCGACATTGCGCTGCAGCATGGCTCTCATCAAGCCTCCCAGTACCCATCCCACTCCATAGTCCACGTCCCTCATTGGGGGTACACTTTTTACATAGACGTTAAAACACCTCTGGGAATATCCCGAACACCTTGCTTTTGTCAAAAACATTTTCAACCCTATTCTGACAGTTTCCTTGTGAGCATCAGCATCCGCAAGTCATAGACAGTAGAGATTATATTTAATTAGCCGACATACCTCTAACCTATGCTTCAATATAAAGAAGTGATATCAAGTTAAAACATAAATCACACTTAGAAAATCCTAATAGATTTACCAGCAAAACTATGATTGAAAATTAGTACACATTGTATAGAGCTTATCACAGAGCGTTCCCTTTAGAGGATTTTACTAATAGCAATATAACAACTGTGTGTGTCTACTGTGATCTTGCTGCCTGTCGGCGCGTTTCCCTCTGTACCGTTCATATCTGCTTTCCTTCATCCTTTTTTCTCATAACCCCCCCTTTAATCCCTCAAAAACAATGCTCCGAATTAGCCCTATGGCACCAATATTAATAGACTTGCTCTGGCGCTGTGGGTATTGGCAGCTGAAAACCAGAGCAGAGGATTAGCATCATATTTTCAATTGTCGACTGCTTCCCTTAATGCGTTGTGAAAATATCAACACGCGGCGGTGAACCATGAGGCGAGCAGCAAAAGGCCCCCACCAAACACTTTTCAAAAAACGCGCCCCACCAATTGCCTGCTAACACTCGCCTCCTTGATTTGTTTCAATGGAAATACGTTGAGTAAAGGTAAGCAAGGATCTTGAGTGCAGAGGTCAAAATACCCTCTTGCAAGACACCAATCGAGTGGTAATAGCCGTCCTTAAAATTCCTTCCAGTGTTGGTCCACTTATGTAAAAACAACTTACAGCCCCGATCCATTCAAATCCTAAAATTTGCTGAGTCGCTGCTCTGTCCTCTAATGACATTCCAGCCATGTCTGCTAATGTAAAATCTGGCTACCTCATTATCTGTTTCTTCTATATTGCTCGAGAACCCGTTTGTCTTTTGGACCCTTAAGCCGAAATCTCTTATCCTAAATTTATCATTTACACTGACAGTTTTATTTTTTATTGATCCTTTACAGAACGAGCCTTTTGTCTTTTCCAGCCGGCTTGGCCTCTATTGGTTCGCTCTTACTGAAGCAGTTGTAAAAGACCGACCAACGCAAATGACATCCCGGCCCGACGGCCACACAGGGCAAAAAGAGAGCAAGAGGAGACAGTGGATACATTCAATTTACTTGCACAGCCTCTTCTCTCTGAGTTCAAGTTAAAACACTGAAAAACCTAAAACACCTGCTCTTTTGTCATTCGTGTTTCACCCTGCCCTGTAGCCAAAATGGTCAGATGCGACTATATATTTGATCCCCGTGAGCTTCCACTGCCATACCATCCGATGCATTCAGGTGAAACCTTCTTTGGCCGTCAGTCTCCCCCACAAAAACATTACCCCACCACAAAGCAATTCACCAGTACAACAGGACAGTCAACCGAGTTCTCCAACCTACAGCATAATTACACCCCCCATGTGAATTTTTTAACTGCAGGAGTTGGAGATGTGCCCGCCAAAAAAAATAGTCTTTCTAGGTTTTCCCACAAAAAACAATTAACATAAATATAAACAAGAGGCCTTAAACAAACACATTGTCAGAAAGACTAAACATAAAAATAAAAAAAACTTTGTAACAAGAATCAAAATAAATATAATTTATCACAAAATTAAATACAGAAAGATGGATATTGACACACACACCTGAAATTACTGAATACAGTTAAATCGGGGAAAGAGAGACTCCATCCTGCCAACCCGGAAAGGCGACTAAATGGACTGTTGTCTCACAACCAACGTTTACGATTCCATGTTACTGTTACTGATAGACACCCCACAGAAAAACCAACTTATTTGGAACTAGCGAAAAAATCAAGAAAGGATGCCAGAAAAAACATATGAAGCAAGTAACAAAAAGTCACCACACCACGGGTCCATACGCATCAGTGGCAGCCCGATCTCATTACAAAAAAGCAAAATTGTAGCCTGTAGCCACGTCTCTATCTCTTGAGTGCTAAATTCATCTTTTTAAACTGCACATGCTTACCTACCTACCGCTGTAAGAACCATGCACTCAATTAAACGATTTAGTTAGCATGAAAACAGGAAGAAATTATTACTAGAACACATGTAATGATGAATGAGAACACATAAAGCCTGTAAACGGAGTATGAGAAGACATGAGTGTTACAATAAGGAGTTTCGGCTTCAAATTCTAAACTCGTCAACAACTGCCAGTTTGTAGAAGTCTTTTTAAACAATTAAGTGAATGATCGATAGTTTGCAGCTGACCCCTTCACTTCTCCCATCAACAGTGTTCCATAAACTTGTTGATGCACGAGTGGTGTAGCCGCAGCTAGCTTGCGGCCTTTGATAGAGCGGCATCGAGGATGCTTCTTCTGGACGCAAATCGAAGGCCCAGCAGACGTTTAGCGCGTGATTCGATGAGCAACAAGAGAGCCATTCAACCTCTTTTGTCACCATCCATAAGACAAAATCTCTGCAGGCAAGAAGGCACGTGTCTGTTATCACCACTACCTGAAAGTGTCTACTTCATCGAACAATGGCAGGTGTCCTTGTTGCTGCCAGCTGACGGACCGATGACGCACGCGCGCTTTGTGTGGCACTCTGCAAATAGTCTGGAACGGAGTTTCTGGAACTAATGAAACCCGGATGTGAAGCGTTTATTCGAATTGGCAAACAGCGGTCGGCCCACCACACATGACATAGGTAAGAAATTGGGCCATGGGTGGATTCATCGTGCGTATACCGTGGATATAACAGACATTTCTCCATGGCGGCGGAAACATGCCCCCTAGGTGAAGAGAGGCCATACCG